CTTTGCAGGATCACTGCAGGGCATATTAAAGAAATTATAAAAAAGCCACTGCTAAATTCGGAAAGGTGATTTGCTATTGGCAAAGTGTTTCTTGTTGTGTGTAATAATGGTGACCAAGAATGTTCAGCATCTTTGTAGATGCTCCAAGAGAAATACAAATCCTTGTTGGTAAAAACATAGAAGTTACTTTAATTTAGTGTTCCAAGCCAAAACTTATGTGAAATATAGACTTGGAAAACAGTTGATAGACACTCCTTGGACCACAATAGTTGTGCTGTTCACTACTAAGTTTGGGGAAAGGAAAAATGAAAATATTACCTTGTCTTTGTTGAGTTTCAAGACAAAGACATATTTCCCATGGGGTTTGTGGTTGGATCTTTTCAGGCTGTTTGTTTTCATGTTGTTCTAAGAATTTTTCACTGATAGTTGCTGGGTCCTGTTTGTCTCAGTGTAAGCCTGTGGCAAAAGACACAGCATTGTTGTTTTGGAACAAAAGGTGATAGCTGAGAGTAAAGAGAGTTGAGGTGGAAATTTGGAAATTGTAGTTTGATTAGGGATTTTCCTGAACAACTGAGAATTACTGGTCATACTTGAAGATAGTTGTTGTCTGGTTATTTAGGGTACTTCACATCATCCCAGCGTTTGAAAGACACAAGACACTGAGGAAATTGAAAATTTTTCTTACTATTTCTTTATTTATCAACTGCTAATAGTGGAGGAAAATGTTGAAGTAATCCTGTTCTTTTATGCTTAGAGCATCTCCTGAATAAGTTCTGTTTCAAATCAGAATTATCATCTAAATAATATAATTAATTCAGCATAAATTAAAAAAGTAATGTTTTTTTCTTTATGATCTCCTTTTAAAAGGATATTAATTTGCTTCAATGAATGAAGATAATAAGGTTAATAGTTTAATGTTCCTCAGTTGATATATGCTGCTTTTTCTATTACCTTTTTCTTCCTTTTTGATTATAAATTGGCTAACCCCTGGTGTATAATTCCAGAAATCATCCCTTCAGTGTATCCAAACCTATTTACTTAGACTCATCTTTTATTATTCCCACTGCCACAGTCTAATTATTGCAGTGAAAGATTGAACACAGAATAGTTTGGGGCTTTGATCAGTCTTCATATAAATTTCAATAATGAGAGTAAAAGGTTTGCGGTTTTCTGAGATAATTTGATCCCTCCAGACACACTCTGCTGCTACCAAATGCAGTGAATGCCATATGAGACCTCTGACAGCATTTGTGTCTGGGTTCGTGACATCTCTGGAAGCAAAATTCTTTTTTCATACCAATAAAGAGTAATTTAATATTGTTAAATGTGCCAGAGAAACTATAGATTACTGTACATTTTTCCTTAAGTTTTCACTTCATTGTCTCCTATCAGTTTAATTGTCTGTATTACAAGTTCCTACACCAGAATCCACTAAGAATACATAATAGGTTTGCTTGCATTTCTCTCCTTTTGAAAAAGTATACTAACTGTCATTCAAATAAATAAAACAAACCATAATCCTTGTTATTCTATTACTATCGGTGCTAACTCCCTTCGGAGATAAATAGAAAAGCAGCTGGAGACTGAGGATATTTTGTAATCTTATAAATTGAAATTTAAATGCCTCAAGGAAGAAATTTCCAAAATAATTGTGACAGAAGATAAGTCCCAGCTTTTGGCAAAATTTTATTAGAATTACTTGTTCCAGATCACTGTCTGATGCCTGCATGAATTAAGAAAATGGCAGCACTGCCATGTAGAGAAATAGCTGCGTTTTTTTCATCTTGATAAATTCTTCTGAAAGTGCTCTGTCATCAGCATTATCAGGTGTGACATTCTCAGGGACACTATCAAATTAAAAATCAGGAGCCTTTAGCTGATGCCAGTTGATTTTAAATCATATGGGTTTTATCCTTTCAACTAATAACATCTGAGTTTATGCAACCAAATATTTACAATTTTTTACTGAACATGAGTGTTAGTTAGTGACATTTTCAATTTTGTTTGAGGTATTGTTTTTTTCTCACTGGGCTAGGCAGTTAAAAAAAAAAAAAGAGTTGGTGACTTTCTGGTCTCCTTTACTGTCATCTGGTTAAAAACTTCTGCTGTATTTTGACAACAAACCATGAAAATAAATATTCTTTTTTTTACATATAGTGAATCCCAGTTGCACATAGTATTAACCATTGTATTTCCAGTCATGTGCAAAAGCTAATACTGGTATGTAATGGTAAAACTTGGGCTACAAAAGGCTTTAAAAATACTTTATTCTTAAGAATCACTGGTAGCTTGGAGAGGAGAAGATAAAAGGTAGAGTGGGTATCAAATATCACAGGCCCAACACAAAACAGCACAAAGGCAATACAAACTTCACAAAATACAGTTTTTACAAACAGCTCATGCAATGCAAGTGGATTTTTTCATAGATACTGTGAATACCAAACTCACTTCACATCAAAGAAATAGTATCTTCCATTTCCACACGTCTTAGCTGTGCAAGCTCAGTGCAGTTTTGAATGCAGGGAGTACATCAGAAACGTTGCTGGAATGTTTTCACTGGATCAATTTGACAAAACTTTAGTTATTTGGACTTTCAGAAAAGAGTTGATTGACACTGCTGGTGTGAATAGGGCTCTGAGAGGCAGCTGATGAGTGGAATAGTAGAATTACATATCAGTAATTTCTGTGGATCCATCTGGTTTTTTGACTGTGCAGAGACACTCCATGTATCTCCACCCATCTGTAGTGGGAAAAGCCAGCAGGAGGAGCAGGATCAGTGTCCCAGCCAACCTTCCAGAGCCCTGGGGCAGCTGTAGGCAGCTCACTATAGAGTTCAATGAGAAGATTCTTCTGGTGGCACCAAAAATGCCTGGGGTCTGTGGGCATGTTAGCTGGGAACCTTTCACCATCTGAATTTTTTTCCTGTGTGCTGTCAGGCTACCCCAGCTCTCACAGAAGTGATGTCTTCTCCCCTTTCGATCTCGTGTAATGGGAAGTCATTCTGTGTTCAGGTTTTCAGAGCTCAACTGATGTCTTTGCTTGGTCTGTTCCAATTTTTGTTAAAGATCTGCCAAATGAGGGAGAGTGTAAAATCTGCAAATTTCATAAACAGGAAAGCAGGACTGGAAGGCAAAGTGTACTTGATGAAAACAGATGAAATCATCTGGAAAAACAGAATGGCAGGAAGAATGAATGCAAAGTGCCATTCTTAGGCTCCAGCAATCCATGGCAATAACCAAAAAGGGAACAACAAGGAAAATGGTCAATACAAAGGACCTGGACATTATGGTGATTGGCAAGGAAAATGTGTTCCACTGCCTTGGAGAAGGCAAAGCAGTGGTGGAGCCTGCAGGAGGTGTGAAATGATCCTTCTGCAATACTCAGTGCTTTAAGGATCTTGGCTGAAGCTGCATAACGAGTTCTGAGCAGTGCACAGAGCTGTGTGTGTGTGCAGGGGGGTGGGACAACGCATCAGAAGCACAGGACAGATTGAAATAATAAGGCCCGTTTATTCTGCAGCAGACTAAAGTGCCAAATGCCAGAAAGATGAGTGGGAATAAGCAGACCATGATGGATGGGACTGAAGAAGTGATTTATTTTGTAACAAGAAAGAGGCAGGTTCGACATTAGAAGGAAACCTCTCCATTAGCAGTGGTGAAGCACTAAAACAGGTTTTCTGGGAAAGCCCTGAATGTCTTACTGGTAGCTTTTAAGAAGAGCTGTCACTCACATCTGTCAGGAATTGCATAGGTAGCGCTGATGCTGCCGTGTTCTTGGCTGTACACGCTGTACAGCAGCTGTCTGTGGGCATGTGGAATAATGTCACAGTGACAAAAAGAGATTTTGAAAAGTAAAGGAACTGAACTTTTTAGCAAAAACTTAATATAATTGAATGTTTTCAACACCATCACCCTATAGGAACCAAATATCTAGAGACCTCTGAAAACATCTGCTCTATTATAAACACTACACACTTTTTTGCATAATTGCATCAAAAATTTACTAATCCCAGAAGTTCTGGATCTGGAAAGATTTACATTGCCTTTCAAATGGAATTTTGAGTAACAAGATGTTAATAATATTTTAAACTGGGTTTTTGTTTTGTTTGTTTGTTTTTTCGATCTTAATGTTTCATGTTTCCAAAACGTGGAAAACAGATGCATCAAAATAAGGAAAGCTGCTTATTTATTTTTTCATATTTTCTTTTAATATTGGGATAGATTTACATTTAAATTATTCAGTTCCTAAATAATGCAGAGTCACTTAGGTAATGAAAACACTGTCCTGTACCTGGTGCACCAGGTGCCTCGTTTCACCTGGCCTTCCTTCTGCAGCTGGGCTGTGATGCTTTCCTTCCTCAGCTCACTGTTTCCCAGCTTCCAGCCTTTTACACTTAAGGTACAGGTCTGCAGTATAACAAAATTCAAAGGAGTTGTAATAAAATGTCTGAAGGAGAGTAATGGAATCTACCTTTCAATCATTAGCTTAACGGATGTGTGAAATCTATTAAAATTTTTTCAATTCATACGACTTGTTATTGTTTGTTCTTTCTCTGCTGGAGAAGAATCCAACAGCATTATAAATGTGTCACATTTTTTAGGCCCAAAAGTGTGGAACAGCTTTTAATGGGAAAGAACATGTTTTTTGAAAACTAGAAAACTGAGCAGGGAAATAAATTGAGCCTCAAAAAATGATTGAAATCTCCAAGTCAATATACAAAAGGCATCCAAAGACTTGTGAAGTCTGACAGAATCTCTTTAGTTTGAGGTGTCTTTCATTTTGCATCAGGGCTTACATTTTCGAAAAACAGCAGCAAGCTGTGCTGTCAGGTGAAGCAGGTTTGAAAGCAGGCTGCCTGCTCATGGAAGCCTGAAATTGTGCACAACTCTGGGTAATGCATCCCCAGCAGATAACTGAAATAATACATTTCCTAAATTGGCTGCATTAAGCAATTACTGATACTGTAGTGGAAACCATATAATTTTGTTCCTTCCTTGTAGCCTCAGCGCCGTGTCACGTTTCACCTCCCAGATGGCTCCCAGGAAAGCTGCAGTGACAGTGGCCTTGGAGACCACGAACCCACCAGTGGGGCCAGCACATCCCACCCTCTGCCCCTCGGCTTCCCCCAGGAGGAGTACTATGAGCAGGCTTCCCCCAACAGCCGGACGGAGGGAGACGGCAACTCGGACCCCGAGTCCAGTAAGTGATGAACTCTGCTCATCTCAGTTGATAAATCATTCGAGGGTCGGAAGTGGGGCTTTCTTTTTTTTGCCAGGTAATTATTAAAAACAAATATTGATTTTAATGTGGCTGAAGGAACCCTATATTTCTAAAAACGTGAAGTCTGACCGTTGGAAATAAAACACTTTGAGCGGCTTATGGATGACCTGATGTTTTTATAGATCTGCTGTGCTATACACAGAGGAGCTTTCTGATGAGGTTAATGCTGTTGCTCTTACAGTCATAAATACTGTGCTGAGGGAGTTCACTTTTTTTAACCTGTTTCCAACACTACTACTTGCTGTAGTTGAATAGGGAGAACTCCATGAATGATGAGTAGGTCTGTGAAAAGACTGCAGTCTCCAGAAGTAAAGGTTTCTTGATTTGTCCTTTGAAAGCAGCGATGGTGTGTAGTAATAATCTCAAAAGAGTTTGTCATCTTTGCTTCTACCATCGTGGCTGCCTTCTTGTGATGTCAAAAAGTTGAGCAAAATCAATGTGAGCTCCAGACTACACTAGAGCTGTGGATACTGGCATTGCTTCCTGTGATGTGATAGCCAGTTGGAGATTCCACTGAACTTTAGTCAACTGTTAATTGTCCAGAGGCTCCTTATCTGGATTAAATTGAACTGTGCCATTGATAAAGAGACACCTGAATGTCTCTAAGCCTCTAAGGCCTTGTTAACGGCTTAATAAGTGATTTGAAAATACATCTGTTCTGGGCAGAACTTGGCCCAAAAGGTGTATTTCAGCTGCTTTAGTGTATCATGAGGAATGAATTAGTAAGTGCTATGCACTTGAATTAGCTGTGTGAGAAGGTAGTTACACTCTGCAATGGCCAAGACAGCATGCAGCAGAGAGCATTCCCTCTGACTCGGAGCTGGCTCTGACACATCCAGCCTGGCTCTCAGAAATCACCCCCTGCCTTTGCCTTGTTCTGCCCAGGACTGGAGTCTGAGGGGCTTTTTGCATGGAGAAGATCTATTCTCTTTTTCTTTTAGTTCATAAACTACTACTTGGGGTTCCTCAGTTTCAGACTTTTTAAAATTTGCAAAGTGAGATGTTTTCCCGAATGTTATTTTTTTTCCAAGCCGATAGGCAGCTGACAAGAACCGTCACAGGTTTTGGATGTTGTGTTGAAAACATTATTCATCACTTGCTTTTGTTTGTGTTTATGTACTTGAGGATGAAATATACCCTTAAAAATATTCTAGACAGTCAAACTGAATTCTTCACAGAATGATGCTTTAAAGGGCTACAAATATAACCCTGAAGAAAGAAAATATCAAGTTATGTAGTATGTTTTCTGCTTTTGCTGTGCATACTCATGATCTGAACTTGCTTTCCAGCTCTCTCTTGTTTTTTTGTAACTCTGATATTTATTCTTTACTGAAGTGAGCACAATGTACATGAAATCAGTATCTGGATCCTTTCCTGCAGAGAATGTGTGACAGGACCTGGTGTATGAGGAGTTGTTAGAACAGGTGTATGGATCCTGTGTTGCCATTTATAAAGAGGCTCAGGTTTGGGATTTGCCAGTGCTTTTTGAGCCCAGTTTTTGCAGTTTCAGAAATATGGATCATGACTCTTCTAGAATGTTGCCCTAAAAGTAGCACAGCTCTGACATCTGAACATCATTGACACATATCACTGCGTGGAGACTGAGCAGGCACCTCAGTCTTTCCAAGTGTGAAGTTGAAGAAAGTTTAATCACCTGTCTAATTACCTGACGGTTCAGTTTTAAACTTGAAATCACAGTTTAATTAGCATTTATGTTATGTAGTGTTTTTTTTTTCTCGCTTTTAACTTGTATCTTATTGAAACACTTTAATTGATGTGATGTGGTGTGATGGTTACAGCGCAGAAAAAGTCGTTTGTGGCCCTTTTAGGGTTTTATGCTCATATTAATGGCAGCATCTGGTGGCAGGAAAAAAAAGAGGACGCAAATAGATGTCTGTTGTCTGCTCTAAGTAAAAAAGAAGGAGAAGACCCACAGCATATTTGTGTTCAACATGCGAAGTGACTTGGTCTAGGCAAAATATCTGTGTGCTGACCTATGCAAGTGCTCAGCCTGAGGTTCATTCTGTTCACTTTTGCATGCATGACAAACTTAGTCAATAGTGAAATAGTGAAAATAGTCCTGAACTGACAGTTTCCTCTACCAACATACTGCTAGATTTTTGTTCGTTATGTTTTTTTTCATTTCATTTGGAATGCCATGATACATTTGAAGTCTTTCCAGTCTTCTTTCATGGACCAAAGTGTTGTTAATGTGAAAAGAGAAAGGAATATACAGTCAGATAATCTGAGTTCCTGAAATGGAATAAGCATGGCCTTCATTCTCTCTCAAGATCTTTAATATCTGACCTGTCTTAATCTGAAATATTGTCTAGAACATTGAGCCTGGTTAGTCACCTGATGGTGATTTAGTTCAACTTTGCTTAACAAGGAGACAGATTTGGGATGAAATGACATCAGTAACATGTAGAGCCAAGTGAGACATTCAGTGCCTTATGAAAGCTGATGACAGATGCGACATCACACAGAGATATATTCAAAAGTGTTTTCTCCCTCTTGTTTTTCCTGACTGCAGTTCTTTGGTGTTATTCGCTTCTCTAATATTGGAAATTATTGTCCTTTGGAAACTTTCCATTTACTGGCAATAGCAAAGCATTTATTGCAAAACACTGAAAAAGATAAGCATAACATAATAACAAAACCTGAGAAATATTGGTGAGAGGAAGCTTTACAAATTCACATCCAATACAGGATTGAAGCAAGGGGGAAAGAATAACTGTAAGATTATAGTGGTTAGAAAGCTATTTATATGTAAACCTTTAAAATTAATTCACTGTGCTAATTAAAATTAGTAATAGTCTATTTAAAATTATTTGTCTTCTCTTACTTTAGTTGCCTCCTCAGAAAAGCATAATGTGCAGTGTGGTAGATGCATCATAAGGAAGAGATGCCAATAAACTGCCACACTAAGTAAATAGGAATATAAAAATGCATGTAGGTTTGTAGAGCACCTTACCCTTAAGTAACAGCACTGTTGTACATGGTAGTCATTTGTTTTCTGCTCATAAATTGCTCAAACTAATAAGGATGCTTCAATAACTCCATATGTAAAGGATTTTAACCAAACCACCTTTCTTTTTTTACCCTCTTTTTCTGCCATGTTACATTTAAATACAAAACACACTATAAACATAGACAAAGAGTAATAAATTTGCTCTTCCCTGGCAAACTCTCTCTCAGTGGTACCCTCTTAGTGGCTGTAAGCAGTGATGCTGATCATAGAGGCTAAAAGGTACATGTAAACCCCAGTTATGCTGGGTTATTTAATACATGTGTAACATATTAACGACAGATTTTCATGCTTTACCTGTTTTTGTTGCCTTATCAAAACTATATTCTTTCCTGTAGAGAATAAAATTGTTTCTCTTTTATTTGGAGAAGGTAGAATATGCCCAGTTCAGCCAAGAAATTGGTCAGAGCTAGAGGAATGATTGCAGCTTGGGGCTGGTGGGGGTGGGGAAGCCAGAAAACCTGAAAGTAATCTGAAATTAAATAATAGTAATCGTTCTGTATAAAGACAATGGAAGTATAAACAAAGCTAGCTGAAAATTAAAGGATTAGTTAATGAGGCAAATCACACTGAGATTTCAGGGTTTCAGATTGGAGGAAACTGGTGTCTTAAGGAAAAGAGTGTTTTCATAAAGAATATTTAAGATTAAGTGAGACCCCTGGTGGCCTAGTGGTTAGCATGCAGGACTCTCACTGCTGCAACCCGGGTTCGATTCCTCGGTCTCCCGGGCAGATGGAACCCGTTAGCCCTGTGAGGCCATCCATCTATGAGAAGGTCACTCTAAACAAACCTACGTCCTGAGGACCTCACTGCCATTGTCCAAGCGTGCTTGGCCCCGGCAGATGAACCTTAGGATTAAAGGGTGGGCTCAGTTCAGCGCAGGCTGTGTCTCACCTAAAAAATCCATTGCGCAGGCTGGAAAGGTAAAAGACCTTTCCCCAGATCTTCGTTCGCGAAGACTGGCCATTACTGTTACTTACTTATTTAAGATTAAGTAGTGACTAATGAGACAAGAAAGTTTCATCAAAAATCCGAAGATGTGGAGCTGAGTATGGCCAAAAGGAGAGCCAGCAGACACTGCAATTTTGTGGTCAAATCAAGTTGGGGTTGCTAAATATGTATGACTGCTTGTTTTTATCTCCCAATCACACCTTCTCTTGTGGCAGCATGTGCATTTGAAGAGCTGTTTGGGTGAACTGGGTAGAAGAATTCATCTGGGTTCAACCCCTAGGGAGGGGGAAAAGTGATTTTTAAATACATGGATTCTCCAATTCCATTTGTTACATGAGGCACTATTTGTGGACAGCAAATGAGTGAAGGAGTAGCTGGGGCAAAGCTTATGCTGGCTTTAAGTGATCATCAGACTGCAAGAGAATTAGTCTTAAGAAGAATTAAGACTGCAATCTACGGTATTTAACCACATAAGAAGGAGGTTTGCAGCGAGGATGACATCTGTTCATGATTAAAGATAGCATATATTTCTTCCCCAAAATTAAAGGAACAGTTTCACCTTGCCTTAATTTTTGATAAGGATGATGCTGATGAGCGCAAAGACGGGCTGATGAAGAATGATGATAATGGCACTGAAAGTCAGAGCAGGTTCAGTGCTCTCATGTGGAGGAGAGGAGATAATCTTCCTCCCAGGATATCAAAACTGATAGTGTTTTCTTTATTTTCTGTAATTCTAAAACACAAGGTGTCAAGAAAAAATAAAGTGTCGGTCAAGCTTCAGTACTGGAAAACATTTATGAGAAAGAAACTAGGATATATATAAACATAATGCAGTAAATGGTATCAGGTTTCCCAAGAGTAGAACTAATTTAGGTCTATTATTTCACATCCATGACATGTATTTTTAGTATTGGGGACTACATGTATAGTTAATCTATAT